AAAATGCAGAAATATCTTCTGAACCCATCAGTACCCCCCTTCCCCTTAATGGTACACATACCATTGTCAGAGAACCAATGATCTACACTATACAAATCCAAGCATTGTTTAATTTCTCTGGGAATAAAAAAAACCCATGTGATGCAGCAGTTATTCTAAGAATACATCAATACATCATGGCAAGCTGTGGCAAATGGAACTTCTCATATGGTGGGGGTTGCGCATCTAATTAAACTTCTGTTTAGGGTTAATTTAGATAGGCTTGTGTTTTCTTAGTCCAATTGTATTGTCATTCAAATAAGGTGCCACAGACTAATAGAGAAAATAAAAAGGTCAAAAGGTAGAACATTTGCATTAGTGTGGCAGACCTAAAACCATTGTAATTCAATAAAAACTAGTTCTGGGAGAAAAGAAAATCTGACTTTACATTGATCAAATCTAGATAAGTGCAAAGAGGACAATTCAGTCTTTAGGGTCATAATCCCTCCACACTTTTCTGTAATTAAGGGCAGTACAGCCTTAATGATTGTTCTGTAATTAACAAGCAGTAATTAATTTAGTAGGGGTTAGGTCGTAATAATGAGACATTGTCTACTAGTACTTTTTGGTGTTATTGGGCAGTGATCATTATAAAAAGTATTGCTGCTCTCTTTCCAAGATAATAACGTTGCTTTGGGTTTGAGCTGTCTCTTCTCAGTGCATGTTCATGCAATTGAGCTTTTTAAAAAATGACTGGTGGGCAAATATTGGCAGCACATCCAATCCCCCTCTTACATATATGACTTCAGCCAATCCATACACCATCTGTGAAGGTAAATCTTCCTAGTGAATGTATTTTAATATACAGTGAATGATTCACCACTCTGCACATTTGTGTCAGGAACAGCAGTACCTGATGTTCACACTGAAAGCAGGAAGTTCCATAACGGTCTAATAAATCCTCACCTATCTGTACCTGTCAGAGATCAGAAATCTGAAACAACATTTCCTAACCTTTTATCAGTCACAGCACCCTTTAAAAGTATACATATTCTTAAGGCACCCCATTCTAAAATGTAAAAAACGACATGTAGCTCCTTTCCAAATCCATACCAAATCCTTATACAAAATATTGGTCTGTTATGGATTTTAAGGAAAGGGAACCCCCAAGCAAAAACACACAAAAAAGTGGGATTCCCCCCCCTTCACATCAGAGTCCCCTTAACATCACAGCCCTGCCTTCATGTCAAGCACTGGCGGAACTACCAGGGTCGCAACGGTCGCAATTGCGACCGGGCCCTGGCGTTCCGCCTGTTGGGGGGGGGGGGG